GTACCCAATCCTTCATCAAAGTTGTGGTATCTAGGCAAGGGCTACGTTGTGTGCCGCGGTGAGATCGAGTTTAGGCATCGTTGATTTTGGGGTTTCAACTCGTTTCTTCTTCAAACTTGAGGTAGGGATTTTCTATACTAATATGTTTTTAGCTTAGTTTTTGCTATGGTGTATAGATGATGAGATTTGGTTGTGGTTGGACAAATCTAGGATTTGGTGTGGAAATGAAAAGAGGGGTTTTGATGAATATGAGGTAAACGAGTATGAGGCTTGAATATAAGATCATGTTGTGCCAAAATAGTTGATTTGTATTTTGGGTTGATATTTGGTGAAAGGGGAATTTTGCCCTAATTTGATTAAATTATTATTTGCATAAATAATTGGGATTAACATTGAAAACGTGAAATTGGAAGGTTGTGATTATAAATGGTGATATTGGATATGTATTATCTCACCTATGGAAGTTTTGATAAAAACTATTTATTTTGATATTGAACATCTTTAGAAATATTGCATTGGGCTATCGGTGGAGGATAGTGTAGACGTTCCCTGAACGGCCCGGGAGGAAACCGTTTGTTGTTACTCGGGCTACTACAGTTCAGGACTCAAATGTCACAGTCCTGTATCTAATCTTGCAGAGTGCAATCAAGATCAATGAATCATCAAAAGAGTCCAAATCGGAAATCGTTTTTGAAAACAGATTTTTGTTTGAAAGAAAGTCAAGTCCCAAACATGGACTGTTTTCCAGATACAGAGTCGCCACCTAAATATTTTATTTTGGGAAATTTAGGATACCCTGACTCGTTTGCCTAAGGCCACGTGTCCGTCATCACCAAAGTTGCCTCGGCTCGAAACTTGGGTACATTGGGAGCACTTCGTGCCCTGCTCGCCCGATCAAAGATCGGTCTCTACTAACCATGATATCGAGTTTTGAAAACATTATGCATTCTTATTCCGGTTATTAGCCTAGATTTACTATGTGATGCGCACAGCATACAAGTATAGACTGGATCGCCCAAATTGGAACAAAACATTTCATGTTTGTTTTTTAAAGCGGTTTGCTACTCGCAAGTAGGCTTAAAATGTAGATTTTGCCACCCTCGAGTGGGCTTAGAAAAGATGGTTTTGCCACTAGGTAGTGGACTTAAAACTCACAGTTAATGCATTATTCCAATTTAGATAACCCAACCTTCACCCACAGGCATTCAGGCAGTTATATCACATAAGCAGTTAGCCTCATGGTAAGTATGCTATCATGGTAGTCACTCACACGCATGCAAGGATGCTAAAGCATAAAACTTACTGAGTATTCCAAGCCAAAACAAAAGGTATGCTAGAAATCCATGCATGATCCTAACTATGCTGAAATGCCTAATGCAACACATGTAGGAATGCAACTACAATAGGCTCGGCTATTCTAAAGATGGCATGTGATGATGCTACAACTAACAAGTATTCAACTCGGAATTGAAATACAATGCAGTTAGTATGATGTGCCGAGCCCGGTGCATGCAAGATAGATGAATGATGTAAACATGTGAGCATAAGTATGCTAATTGAAACATGCCCTAATCTAACCATACATCACACACACGCACACTTATTACAGTTGTGCCCTCACTCAGAGGGTCCGAATAAATAATACACAACCAAAATGGATAATAACTCACAGCTAATTATTACACAATTCTAACTAATTAACAAATCAACTAAGTAAGCAATAAACTAGCATGCAAACTATGTAGAATGGACTGCCTTGGCTCTGTTTTGGATGACAATGGATGCATGCATGCTCCAGTCGCCTCGTCGGGAAATTCCATCGCGATGCCTCATCTCGCCTTTATTTGCAATTGATTTTCGAAAGTTGCACAAGGCTCCAGAAGGCTGAAACTCCACCCTGGGAGGACTGCCGACCAGCTATTGGCTTGGGAAACACCTGCCGACCACCCTTTGTGGTGGATACCAAAAAAGGTGGTCGGCCTGCTAGAAAACCTGGTCGGCCGACCACTTTTTGCCCCTGGATCCTGGTTTTCTGTAACACAAAGCAAGAGAGAGACATGGCAAGGTATTTTCAACAAATGTGTGCATGACCACACTCTCCATCCTTGCATAAGCTCAAGGGAGTGTAGACCTCGATCCTCGTGCCACCAATTACGCATCTCGATGCATGATGGTCGAGGAGTCGAATTGCACGACTCAATATGAAATGAATGCACATATAAGCAAGTAAAGCCAACGACTTTATCATGGACAGTCAAGAGTGTCGGCGACCAAGAATCGAGGCACATTTCATCACTTGGAGTACGAAACGCCCCTCGTTTCTCGTGTTTGGACTAACTCCTACTCCAAACACAATGCAATATGCATGACATGTACAAATGCAACTAGCATGCAATCCTAATGCAAAGCGGCCTAACCATGCAAACATGCAAGGATGAGATGCAAACATGCTACTAGCATACACAATACTATGAACCATATGGCATACACAATGCGACTAACAACCTAGCATACGCAATGCAAGAAAATGAGATGGCATACACAATGCCTAAAACAACATGGCATGCACAATGCACTAACATGCAACCTATCATACGCAATGCTATGGACTAAAATGGCATACACAATGCACGATGGACTTACACCAATATGAGTGGACCTCAGCCACACTCAAATCAGTGGCCATGTAATGGAAATGAGACAACCGAAACACATGCAAACATGCACGATGCAAGGGACCGATCCTAAGACATCAAATGCCACTCTTCCAAAGCATGGCAAGGGATGAAAGATGGCATACAAATATGTAATTTCCAGTTCTGAAATAAGATGCTCAATGGTCCCAAATCATGGAAACATGTCACCCGATGCATGAAATAGGCCCCGTAACTCAAAACTAGGCAAATGCATTGAACCACAAGTATGCAAAGCAAGCATTATTTGACCATGAGGCATGAAAACAGAGCCAAGGCAGTCCTAAACATGCACCAAATCAGTTCTAAGCATGGCCAAAAAGTGCTAACATGAAGGGCTAAAACAAAATGCAACATAGGCTAGTAAGCATGGTTTACATGGCATGTATATGAAGCACAAGAGAGGTCACCAAACCAGCCACAAATAGGAACATGGTATGCTAAAATATGCCCAAATAACCACTGAAATGTATCAAATGTATGCAAAAATGATGGGCTCCTTTGGAGGGCCATGAGGTGGATTACTCAATGCATACATGATGGACACACACAATGGCAAAACCACCTCTAGACAGAGGTTTTGAGGGTCCTAAAACCCACTAAAAAGAGCCTGAAAGGGGTCTAGGAAACATGCAAATAAAGGCCCCTTTGAAAGGCCTTGAATGAGATTGTTCTACACATGCACCAAAGACACAAAACATGGCCAAAAGGGCCCCATACAGAGCTAAGGCAGACCTCAAAACTCACATAATAGGGCCTGAAACAAGACTTCAAAGCATGCAAGATGGAGCCCCTTTGGAAGGCCAAAAGGGCCAACAAACAAGACAAGGAGAGAGGGGGTCACCCCCCTCTGATTTTGGCTCTCAAAACAGTGTGTTAGCCACTAAAAATCCACTGGATTTCAGTGGCTAGAAGGCCAAACAAAGCATGCAACAAAGGCCTAGATGCAAGGCTCAAAACAAGAGGCAAACAAGCATACAAGGAAGTAAATGACCTCAAACAGAAAAATACCCTTAATCAAACATCAATAGGGGCTCAAAATAAGACTCTTTTCAGTTTGTGACAAATCTCGAAAATGCTCATAAGTAGGGCTAAGACATGAAGCAAAATAAGCCTACAAAGAGGGATAGGGCATCCAAGGAGGTATACGACCTCAAACAGAAAAGTGTCCTTAATCAAACTTCAAGAAGAGCTCCAAATAAGACATTTTTCAGTTTATAACAAAACCCAAAAATGCTTGCAAATAGGGCTAAGTTATGAAGCAAAATAATGCAAAAAAAGGGGA